ATTTGTTTTTATACTAAAATATCAATGAATTACTTTGAATAAAGCTGGAAATTATGTCCCTTAAAATAATTAAACAAATAAGGCACCAATGTTTTTGTAAGATATTTACATCTTTTAAGGACATTCGGTAGACTGATTCCCCACTGTTGGTTCAACCCCAAAACTTGTTTGTATTCAAAATTAATTATGACAATGCATATTTATATTGAAACAAACTGTGATAAAGGAAATTATATTATATAACAAAGGGCAAGGTCACCAGAGTTCAAAGCTATGTTATTATTTTACTTTGATTTTGATTTTGTGATTTTTTTGAATTCCGCCTTACATACATCTGACCCGATGCATATGTAACGAGATTTCAACGAGACCCACTATCGACGATTTTAGTCAACGAATCACAAACCCCAAAACTTGTTTGTATTCAAAATTAATTATGACAATGCATATTTATATTGAAACAAACTATGATAAAGGGAATTATATTATATAACAAAGGGCAAGGTCACCAGAGTTCAACTATGTTTATTATTAGAGGTGTTTACGCGCATAATCGTTCCCTATTTGGAATTCGCATTTCCTAGTATGGTAGGATGCAAATACCCAGTGCAATACCACAAAATTACGGCACACTGTAACTTATGGTGTCACGGTTACAGATGTATAATAATAATTTGGAATTTTGTTTGTAATTAATATGAGCATATTAATTAGCTAATATGCACATGCATATACATACATTGTATATACTACATATTTTTACAACTTTATAATTTTTTTGTTGAATTAGGTATTATGCTTTTGCTGCTCTAGTTGGTCTCTGTGTCATTGGGACTGCTGTAAAATTCTCTTATCCTCGAAGTGAGTCACCAAGAACTTTAGCCTACAGTACAGGCATCATGGCGGGAATCATTGGGGAAGCAGAGGAAAGGTTGGAAATTATTAGTATACGATTACAAGAAAATGCTGCCCAGGAAGTGCAAGAGGAAGTGAAAGAAGAACTAGATAAGGAAAAAAAAGTGGAAGCTGGTGAGTAGTCACGTTCAGTGTTACGTACAACATCATTTCATAGGTCAGCGGAACAGTGGACGTAATGGTGGCAGAGAATAGAACAATATTAACAAG